GAGGCCGGGGTGGGCTCACAGTGACGGAACCAGGGAATGGTTTGGTGGGGGAAAGGACATTCCATAGACACTTCCAGGATGGAGCAACCACAGCTTTTCTGGGAATTCCATGCCAGCCCCTCCCGGCCCTCACAGGGAGGGATTTCTCCCCAGAATCCCACCCAAGGGTCCCCTTTTCCAGCTGGAAGCCATTCCCTGTGTCCTGGCACTCCACGCCTTGTCCAAAGTCCTTCTCCAGCTCTTGGAGCCTCTTCAGGCCCTGGAAGGGTGTTCCCAGATCCTTCCCTTCTCCCAGTGGGACACCCCAACTCTCTCCAGCCCCTGGAGCATCTCCTCTGGCCTCAGGGTGCGGCCCACCCATCCAATCCCTGCCTCTCCAGCTCAGTTCCAGGATTTCCTTGGGATCCACCTCAGGTGCTTTGCACAAGTCCATGCTGATGATGTCATCACCACCCAAAGAGCCCCCGAGCTCCACCGAGGCCATCACCAACCACCTCCTGGCGTCCCGTCTGCCCGGCTTCCAGGAGGATTTGCTCCGTGCTCCCGCCGGGTGTTCCCGACTCCCCCGCTCTGTTCCCCTTCTCCTGTCCCCGGGAACGTCCCCGTGGCTCGGCTTCCTCCAGGTGTCACCTCAAACAGGCCCGGAGCCCCCAAAAATCCACCTTTGAGGAGTCTGGGGGGCAGAGACCCCCCCCCCCGGTGCCCCCTCACGCCGTGTGAGCGGGGCCGGCACCCGCGGCGTCAGTCCCCGGCCACGCGGCCATTCCGGCCTCCGGCGGCAGCGGCGGCGGCCCCGGCGGCGGCCCCGGCGGGGGCCCGGGGTGGGAGGCGGCGGCGTGGCGCTCCAGGAGGGTGCGGTGGGAGAAGCCCTTGGTGCAGAGGCGGCACTGGAAGCGCTCGGGGCGGTGGGTTCGCATGTGGACGTTGAGGGAGCTCTTCTGGGTGAAGCGCTTGCAGCAGACGCCGCACTGGAAGGCGCGGACGCCCGTGTGGGTCACCATGTGCTTCAGCAGGTAGTCCCGGAGAGAGAAGGAGCGCCAGCAGATGGAGCACTGGTGGGGCTTCTCACCTGAGGAGAGACAAAGGTGGGGCAACGCGGGTCAATACGGGGCAGGTCTGCAGGAGGGAACACGGGTCAATGAACCAACGTGGGTCAGCGTGGCTTAGCAGGGGTCAACATGAGTCAACAGGGGTCAACTCAGGTCAATATGGGTCAACAGGGGTCAACACACCAACATGGGTCAGCATGGCTCAGCAGGGGTCAACATGAGTCAACAGGGGTCAACTCAGGTCAACATGGGTCAACACGGGTCAGCATGGAGTCAACATATGTCAACACTGGTCAACGTGGGTGAACGAAGGTCAACGGAGAGTCAACGCGGGTCAACACAGAGTGACACAGGACATCACGGACCCAGACGGGTCTACGTGGGTCATAATGGATGGACATGGAGAGACGGACGTCAACAGGAGCCAACAGGGTCAACACGGATCAACAGGAGTCAACATGGGGCAGCGTTGGTCAGCACAGGCCAACGTGGCTCAACATTGGTCAGCACAGGCCAATGTGGGTCAACGTTGGCCAATGTTGGTCAGCGCAGGCCAATGTGGGTCAACGTGGGTCAGCGCAGGCCAACGTGGGTCAACATTGGCCAACACTGGTCAACGTTGGCCAACATGGGTCAATACAGGCCAACATGGGCCAACGTGGGTCAAGAGCAATGCGCGTCCACAAGTCAACCACAGATCGCCACGAGTCAATGCGGATCCTCCCAGGGCACCAACCCCCCCCCTGCCCTCCCCGCCCCCGTCGTGTCCCCCCCACGTCCCCGTGTCCCCCCCGCGCTCACCCGAGTGGATGAACATGTGCTTGGTGTAGTTCTTGCGGGAGCTGAAGCTCTTCTGGCAGTGCCCGCACTGGTAGGGGGGCTGGGGGCCGCGCGGGGGCCCCACCGGGGGCACCGTGGGCACGGGGGGGGCTCCCCCCGCCTCCGCCCCGCCCTCGTAGGGCGGCGGCAACGCCGGGGGCGCCCCGAACCCAAACCCGTCCCCGCACGGCGCCTCCCGCCCGCGCTCGGCCCCGAACGCGGCGCCGCCGTCGTCGCCGGCCCAGGGCGCCAGGAACGCGTCCGGGAACGCCTCGGGGGCGCCGAAAAACGGCGGGTCTGGCGCCGGGAAAGCCGGGAGGGCCGCGCCGGGCGGGACGACGCCCTCCTGGGCACCGCCGTCCTCGTCTTCCTCTTCCTCCTCCGCCGCCGCCTCCTCCTCCTCCTTGAGCGTCGGCGCGAGGCGCAGCGGCTGCCGCTGCTTCCGGCTGTGGCCGCTCGGCACCAGCTCCGAGAAGTTCTCCAGCTCCGCCGGCGGCCCCGGCGGCAGCTTCTGGGCCGGGGGCATCACGGCGGGGCCGCGGCTCTGCGAGATGATCTGGGTGCACTCGTCGATGACCGTCTTGATCTGCAGCACCGAGGCCGCGGTGAGGATGTGCAGCGCCTCCGACTGGGCCACCACGAGGCTGCCGCTGTACAGGAACTCCACCAGCTGCCGCACGGCCGCCGAGGGCACCACGGGCGGCACCTCGATGGCCGAGTGGCCCAGCAGCAGCTTGTCGTGGAAGAAGGGGCTGCCCGCGGCCAGCACGCAGCGGTGGGCGCGCAGCGAGGCCTCGCGGATGCGCACGGTGACGTCGCAGAACTGCCCCGCCACCCGCTGCCCGTTGAGCGTCTCCAGCAGCGAGCGGCTGAAGTTCTGCAGGTGGATGTAGTGAACGGCCTCCGGCATCGCCGCGGGCACGCCGGGGGACACTGGGGGGCACGGGGGACACAGGGGGG